AGAAGGGGGTAGGCCTGAAACGTCAGCCTTCCTGCTCCTCTGATGCTGCTTGGCCTGCGATGTTCATCCAGCTCTACACCTGGTTATCTCAGATTCTCCAGCATCTGCAGTTCCTACTATCTGAGAAATAAACTAGTCAGGCTTTCGAAAATATATCCAACAATTCTGTTGAAAAGTGCACACACACGGATGACAGGCAACAATAGCACCAGGCTAAGTAGTGAAAATCACCACACAGTCAAATAAGCACCTTGTCTTTTATTATCAATTTAGCACTGAGCACTTGGATAAGGTTAGTGAAAAATTACTCAAGTATGAAATTAGTAGCTATTTTATAAGCACAGGAGGTAATTTTTAATTTAAAATTTATTCTTCCCATTTACCCAAGCCAGAGCCTGAAAATAATCATTCTATACACACATGGGTTAAATGAAGGATACTGAACTATATTGCCGTCATATCTTAACCAAAAAAATACTTTGCAAACTACCCACATGAAATGGACCTGTGTAAATCATTGCTGATTCAAATTTCCAGTGCAATAGGAAAATAAGTAAGGGACCAAGATACAGAAACACACTGTATTAATAAGTTACTCTTTATTTGTACAAAATGTAATGGAATTTTGTAACAGATTGTTACATTAGGATCTCAATCTCTACCATAACCCTGAACTCTTATCTCCTTCTTTATTTTCTTGCGTGTTTTTCCCTTTTCATCAACTCCTCCATGAAGATATGCCTTAATCTCCTCACTCCATTTTTACCACAATGTTAATCATCCAACTTCCCTTCTTGGCCTTCATGCCAGCTGATGTTTTCAATGACTTCCTCTCTTCCAAAACTGTCTTCCTCCCTTTCAAGGCCACCATCACCTCCCTTCCCAAATAGAAAGGATTGCTGGCTCTGGTCAGCTCTTCTTCCAAGTAACAGATACCAAACCACACATTCCCTATTCCCTCACGGCATTACTGTGCTGGAATGAGTGGCAGGGCCACATAGAAAAATTGAAAGCAAACTATAGCGAGAAAATGTTGGAGGTGCAGGGGTTAGTGTGATCATTTGTTACTATAGTCAGTTTGTCTTTTATTCTATCCATCTTTACTGAAAGTGGGGCCATGGTCTTCCATTGCATTGGTCCACACTTAAAGACAGAAGTAAAGCTGTGGTTTCTGCAGGATGGCAGGCCAGGAAACTCCTGCTCTTATTGCCTCCCATAAGGTGCATTGGAAGGATTTACAATCAATCAATCTGTTGGGCCACGTAACGAATGCACCTTCTGTGGCCAACATGTCCCTGCATGGGACCACCACAAGATTGGCTGCTGCCAACAGTTCAAGGTCCTTTCAAGCAGCTTAAACCAATCGAATACCATCCCCTCAGTCTCCTCTTGCCCCTACAAAACTGTGAAAGCTCATCGGTATCGGTTTCTGGACTTCTTTTTTCTTCAATATTGTTATAGATGCTGTAGAGCTAAGAATCATCAACATAATGTCTAAATCTACAGATGAGGCAAAGTTAATGAAGGTGGAACATATCAAGTCCAAGTATAAAGTGTTTTTTGTAAAATTTTATGATATATTCCAAGGTCAAAAGTCTCTACCCTAAGGAATAAAATCAAAAATCTTAGAAACTTTTCAATGACAATTAGAAGCAAGGTTTTAACACCTGTTGCAGCTCAATCTGAGACCAATTCTTATTTGACTATCAAATACTCCTGACCTTTACAGGTTCAGCATGCAATGTTTTAAATTGTTTCCCCATGAAAAACAGCTACTGCTAGTGAGCAGTGA